TTTGGTTAGGTTGCTGACAGTGAGCAAAGTACAAGTTATAGGGTCTTTCCTCAAATAATTAAATCCACATTTGGACTAGACTAATTCCTGCAAGGGAGAATGAGCTTAAACTGGATCATTATGTATCTGATTGGTTTTCTTTTTTTTTTCAAGCTGAACTTTTTAATCCCCATCTCTGTGATTGTATTTGTATCAGTTTAAAACAAACCACCCCTGATATTTTGCATCATCATGTTAACCGTGTGCAGAGGGCAGTCCAAGACAATGACGAGGAAAGAAATCCAAAGAAAATAAAGGTGTGCTGATGGTTATCCTTTTCTCCTTGCTTCCTTCTTAAGGGAAATGTTTGTTTTCTCTCTTTAATCCTCTCCTCTTTTCCGATATTAGTCATTGAGGTTATTTTTCATGTGTAAAGGACATTTGAGTTTCCAATATCTGTTTTCCTGAATGGAAATCTTATTGCTTTTAATTTTTTGTGTTTACTCTTAGTTGTCAACACCTAATGAGAAAGCTGAGTTTGAAATAGCCATTTCAGTGTCTGATATCTTGGACAAGTATAGGGAATGATGCATGCATGTTACTCAAATGTATTGTGTGCACTAGCATAGTTAAATGAGACTCTTTTCTTGTAATATTCAAAGAATTTGCTCTCTTTATCTGCTTTTTATGCTGGATTGATACCAAAATGGAAAACATTCCAAACAATCATATACCTTGAGAGGATGAGTTTCCAGTTTTATAGTATTAAAATGAAAAGTAAAAATGATCAGCTTGACTGCTTCCCTAGTGTTGGAAATACATTGTTTTTAATAACTGCTCCCATCTTGCATATTTTGATTTTTCTTGATTAGCCATTATTCTTTGGGTAATTAGCATTGTCTGCATTATTTGTTCTTATTTGGTGGTATACAAATGATTGAGATAGTGCCCTCAAACTTGTCAAAGATGTGAAATTGAGCTTTGGCTCCTAGAATTTTATATGGTTCAGTGAAGCCTTAAAATTTATAGTGTTTGCATTGATTCTAATCAATGTATTTCATTTCAGAAGTTGGAAAATAGTGTTTTCCTTTTCCTAACACAACAATTTTCAAGGTTTGCTTTTATTCTATTGTTATTGGTTTCTATTAAGGCTTCCAATTGGTTTATTATTATTATTTTTTTAAGTTTTTAATTTTTTTTGTGCACCTAAGCACCAAGAAGTAATTTAATTGATGTTACAGTTTTAATTCATAATAATTGGGCTTAGTGACACCAAAACAGAAGTATTAGGAACTCATTAAAAAAAGAAAGTGGATGGAATCGCATATTTCCATTCAAGTTTGAGGGTTATGTTTGGCAGTATGGCCATCTGATCTGATGTTCTTGCCTTATGTTTTCCTACATATACTTGATGGTTTGGAGTACTTGAGACATTCTTCTATTGATTAGTTTGATCAGTTTGTAGGATGATGCTCTCCAAGATTCAGAGAAATTGCAGCATTTGATTTTTTGATGGTCGTCTGGCTAAAAAATCTGCTTAAAGGTATGTTAACTGATGTTTGTTAATCACCATTGTATGAAAATGTAGTTCTGACATGCATTGCCCGGTGCCCACTAGATGAATGAACAAGGAAGTTAACAACTTCTCTCTTGATGGATTAACTTTACATCTCTGTTTTTTTCTATTAAGTCCTTACATCTCTGATGATATCACAGACATTAATCTTTTATGCCAATGCTTGAATTGAAGGGTTAATCAGAAGTTCTTAGGTAAGTGGACTACAATACAGTACATTGATTGTAATTTTAATAAAAAAGGAATTGAAGGTGGGATGTTTGATTTGATGGTTAAAAAATTCCTTAGCATGATAATTTAGCTTAGTAATTCATCAAGATGGAAAACCTAAAGATGATGTTAGCAGTAATATTGTTAGTTTCCCAGAGATATATGTAATTCTAAGTTTTCCACCAAGTTGTAAGGGAAGTTTCTGTAAATTAGTTATTAAACCAACTATAGTTTAAGGAACTGAGTAGTAAGAGAGCTTAATCACTGGATGACTTAGCTGAAATCAGAATGTTTAGATCAATATTTGGTCATAAAAGAGAAGGTAAGATGAAAAGTGAAGATAATCTTTAGAAGGTTGGGTGTTGGGGCACAAATAGTTAAGTAGAACAAGGGAGAAGAATAATGATTTGACCTCGTGGAACTTAGACCTGGTTCATGAGATGGATAGAAAAAATTAAAAAGATGCAGTAATTGGCCAAAGATTATATGAATTGTAGTATGTAAGGACTTATCTTTTTTAGATTTTCTTGTGAGAACAGGTTTTATAATCAAATGGAGAAAACAGGAAAAAAAATTCTAGTAAACAACCCCTAAAAGATAAAAGGTCTTAATCGGGTTTACTGTAGAATATGAGCATGACCTGCCAACGACATTTTTCTTATTTTGTTAGTTTGTTGTTTGTTACTTGAGATTAATGCAAATAAATGTTGATACAGTCTACCGTCTTTAGTGAAATGTTTATGGACTTGCTCTAGGAAATGATTTAGCAAGTTAAAATTAAATTAGTGAAATTAGTCTACTTGTGAGATTTGATTCTACTAACTCTATACCAAATGACTAAGTCTAAAAAGAAACTCATATTCTATTTGAAATTCAATTTTACTAATTTTTTTCCCAATATTTAACTCCTCAAGCAAGTCCTAATTTTGAGTTATATTTATCATTTTATCACTTTTTGCCTTCTCAAATAGGTTTTCAAGAGCTTTTAATTATTGGGAAGAAGTGTCAAGATACAATAAGCAGTAAATTAGCTGGTATTACACATCATTACCAGAGATGGTGCAGGCTATATAATGATGGGTAGAAGCTGGTTTTTGTTTCTCTTCCTTCCGAATGTCCCACTTTATTTTCTCTGAGTTTTCATTCACCTGCCCTTACTTATTGACTATTCTTTTTCACTGGAAATTGAAACTCAGTTTCTACCATTAGCAGTTAATCTTTACCAATGAGTAGAGTACAATATTGAATGCTGGAAGAATAAGTAAACAGAGAGCTGTGGACTCCAAAACTGGACATCTCAACAATTTCATCAAGTGAAGGTCCTAATCCCGGTTACTTCATTTGCATTTCTCTGACTGATTACAATCTCCATGTGGTTTCTCTACTTTTTAACATAAGAACAATGATATGGCAAAACTTTTCTTTTCCTGCATTGTGGATCCATTAAGTTGGTGATGCTGTGGGGAGACCAAATGATCAGTGATGCCGATATAAAATTTGCAGAGGTATATTTCAAAAATCTGTTTCAAAGGGTTATTTTTATTTGTCATATATTCTTTAAATTTTTATTTTTCTATTTGATAAGATGACTTCCCTTTCATTATTCTGTTAAGACTATAATACAAAAGGGTCCATTTTAGCCGTTACACTGATATGACCTATAAAAACTATATAGTGATTAACACAATTTATTGGAGTACACTCAATTTCTTTTTCTTGTTTAATTGGATGGAATGACTATTCCTTATTCAATATGTAAAAATAAGACAAAGGGTATTTCAAAGTCTAGAAGATAAGAATAAGGTTAGATATTTTCTTATAAATTAGTGAATGAGATAGGAATTATTAAAACTTGCGTAGAAGGTATTAATGACTATTCCTATCACATTCCAAAATCTAAAAAAGAAAATGAGCAACATTTCCGAGCTTATTCCTGGAGTGTTAGAAACTTCATTTTATCTTATTTCATTCATTGACCAACAAATAGTAATTCCATCAAATCAAACATAGCCTAAAGTTCCTTCTGCACCCATTGGCTGAAATTGTGCCATGTTTTAATGTAGACATCATTGATAGGTACCTTAAGATTCTAAGGGAGGATTAGGATTGATCTATGCTGTCTGTAGGTGGATGGCTTAATACTCTCAATAAATGCAGTTAGGATTAGTCTACACCGTAAGTGTTGCTTAAGGGAAGACGCTCTATGCTGAAGTGTTGCTCAAGGAAAGATAGTGCGTCAATCCTCATTTAGTTTTTTGGCATAGAGAACTGCATGTGTTAAAAAATACAAAGTTGTCCAGATGGCAAACTGAATCTAATTACCAAAGTAATCGTATCTAGAACAGAATTCGTTAAATGATTATTTTAGTGACGTGAAAAGTGCTTCAAGTAGTAGGATATGCTCCACATAAGCAAACATTTTCTTTGGAAGTTTATTTGGGAAATCTTGCCGTCTAAAGTGGCTTTGCAGAACCGTGGTGTGGATATTGATAGGTCCTGCTGTGTATGTGATCAGAATGAGGAATCCAATTATTATTTATTTTTTAAATGTCACTGGAGTACACAAGTTTGGGCAGGTTCTTGTCCTTTCTTTGGTATAAGCAACATCAGGTCTGATTCTTATCTACATGATTTTCTGAATTCTTTCCTAATGCTAAGCAGAAAGCATAAGGACTGTGTTGCAGTTACACTGTGGAGCATACGGAACAACCCAAACAATTGCTCATTTCGGCATAGATGTTCAAAACATGACCTTACAGTTCATTGGATCGCAAAATACATTGCGGAATACACAAAGTGCGGCTGAAGTTGGAAACAAGATCAGACAGTTGGAGAATAGAGTTTCGTCAGTTGTCTGGCAACCATCACAGGGGGATATAATAAAAGATTAATACAGATGCTGCTGTCCCACAAAATCAGAACACAATCAGTCTAGGAGTTGTCATCCAGAATAGTGAAAGTAAGGTTTTAGGGGCTGCACAAATAACCTGCACTTTTAAGGGGTCAGTTCTTCAAGCTGAGGTTATGGCAATTGATTTTGCACTACAATTAGGAAAGGAATTTGGCTGCAAAAGAGTTGAAGTTGAATATGATTAGTGCATAGGCGGTAGCTATAGCCAACCCTACCGATGAATGCATCTTCCTTTG